TATAGTTTTAGAGGCCTGAATTCTGAAATCAGAGTGCCAGTGGGCATGCTCCTGTGTGTGTGTGTGTGTGTGTGTGTGTGTGTGTTGTGTGTGTGTGTTTTTGTTGATGTTGTTGTTGAGATAGGTTCCTGTTGTTGCCATCTTGAATTGCCTGGGACTTAGGGAAATCCACCTGCCCTAGCCTCCCAAGTGCTAGGATTACAGGTGTGAACTATAATACAATACCTGGCAACACACTCCTAATGAAGGCTCTAGGGGAAGCGCTTCCCTTGTCTTTCCTGCCTCTGGTAGCTCCTGGCAATGCATTACTTTACCCCTGCTTCCATCCTCACACGAACTTTCCCCTACTTTTCTTGCAAGGACACTAGTCATTGGATTTAAGGAGACCCTGATCCAGGATAACTTAATCATTAATTACAGATGCGAAGACCCCATGTTCAAGCCAGGTTGATGGCATGTGGTAGCAACACTCAGAAGGTGTAGGTAGGATTTTAAGTTTGAGGACAACCTGGGCTGCACAGCGAGGCCCTGTCACACATGTGCATGCACACACAACTTCCACACCCACTCCCACTTCCAAGCCTAATAAAATCTCAAGTTCTTTGTGGACATGAGTTTTGCAGGATACTGTTCAAAATGTTACATAGCTCCTACAGTTTCTTGTATTCATTTTCTTCTTTGTCACTGTCAGCCATGGGATGAGATGAGAAGGATTTAACAAACACCCAGTGGGAGTGGGGCTGGGTGACAATCTGAGTGATGGGCATCGTGTTTTACTCAGACGGTCCCATCCTCATCGAAGCTTACCTTGCTGAAGCCATCCAGCAGCTCCTCCTTATTTCAAAATGCAGTCACCCTGGACGTTTGTCTTCCCAGCTCTAGGAGATCGCGAATGCCCATCCCACATTTTAGTTTTGGGTTCAGAGCAAAGCCTCAAGTTGTAGGTAGAGAAGAGCTGCATGCTCATGGATATTATATAAGGTGTTACTTATTCTGCTTATTAAAAACAGATGAGTCCAGATTACATCCACACATTCTTGGAATCCCAGCACTTGGGAGGCAGAGGCAAAAATTTAAGAACCATCAGCTTCATGACAAATTCAAGGCCAGACTGGAATACCAGGGACCTTGTCTCAAAAAACTGCTAGTAATAACAACAACAAGTCATGTGCTGGTGGCATGTGCCTTTAGCCCCAACACTCTCGGGAGACAGGGGCAGGAGGATCTCTGTGAGTTCAAGGCCAGCCTGGTCTACAGTGTGAGTTTCAGGACAGGCTCCAAAGCTACACAGAGAATCCCTGTCTCAAAAAACAAAAAACCAAAACAACAGCAGCAAAAGAAAAAAAACAACAAAAAACAAACCAAATAAACAAAAATAAGGGAGTCAAAAATTATTCTACATATATCTTATTTAATGTATTCATTCACTGAAGACTTGTTGGGTGATACCCATAGCTAATTTGAATACTCCTGGACTATGAGGGGACCTGCAAAAGATTTGGGTAGTCTGTAATCAACCTTCTTTACTTCCCTGGAAAAACTGGCCCCGTCAATGTGAAGACCCCTGACCACCACCTAGACCAGGAAGGCAATGATGGAAAAGTGTGGTAGAATCCTAGGAACTTACCCACATCAGCTGGACTCATAACTTGTATTTGCAGCTTTAGACATGACTCAATAGAACCAAGAGAATCTCATCTCCCTGTGGTTGTTTCTCCACCTAGCCACCGAAATAACATGAGTACAGCTAAAATTCAGGATCTGTCATGATGATGGCCAGAACTCAGCCAGCATACTGTTTCTCTCTGTTTGTGTGTGTGTGTGTGTGTATGTGTGTGTCTGTGTCTGTGTCTGTTTCTGTGTGTAGCTACATGTGTGTGGAGCCCAGAAGTTGATGTCATGTTTCTTCCTTAATTACTCTCTACTTTTATTTTTGAGACAGGGTCTCTCACTAACCCTGACAGTTTGTCAAGGCTAGCTGTCTAGTGAACTCCAGGAATCTTTCTGCCTCTGCCTCCCCAGTGTTGGGATTATAGATGTGTCCCCTCTCTCACTTCATGTGGGTACACTCATGTCCTCATGTTCTCATGGCAAGCATTTTACCGACTATCTGTGTGACTTCTGATGCCTTTGTCACCAAAGTTCTCCCTAAGCAGGAAAACTTGCAAATGAGAGAAAGTGAGAATTAGAGGCCGGATCAGGAAAGACTCTGTAATTGTAGAGTTTGTGCAAACACATTCTGATTCATACTGGGTCAGGATGAGCATTCAGAGTGAATCTGGGATGGAGAGAGCTTTTTGGAGAAAGCCATTATATCTTTCACACACATCCTGGATATGAAGCCCTTTGTATTTTGTGGAGGTGGAGAAGATGGACACTTCTATGCGTCGTCCCTCAGGTTTTTGACATTATGATAATGTGATGAATATTTTCTGTAGAACTCTCTGTTAAATTCAGTCTGTCTCCAAGCAGAGTTGATTGTCTTCATAACCCAATCATCCTTCCATGGCTTATTGAAAATTGGGATGGCACATCACTGTGCTCCACAGGGTTTACAGAATGATTCACACCCTAACCTGGAGGTCAGGACATCGATGGCAGCTTACAGGTTTCAACAGAAGTTTCACCAGCAGGGAATCAGTCTCACTGCTTCAGAAGCACATAAGAGAGAGGGAATGACACAAATATGCTCATTACCCATGTCTAACAACCTGGCAAGGTGAATTTAAGAATTTGAACGTTGCCATAAATGGTGGGTGGTTTAAAATGGTTTGTGGGAGGCAAGGAAAAGAGCAGACAGGTGACTGGCAGAATCCAGGCAGTGGCTCTCAACCTTCCTAATGCTGCAGTCTTTAATACAGTTCCTCATGTTGCTATTGTTATGAATTATAATGTAAATATCTGTGTTTTCAAATGGTTTTAGGTGACCCCTGTGAAAGGGTCATTTGACCCACAGGTTGGGAACCACAGGATTTGAGGTGATCAGGAAGTGAGGGCAGCAATGTACTAAGGGAGAAAATGTCTCACCAATGTGGGTTAAGAAAGGAGATAGGCAGTGATTAAGCTGGGCACAGTAAGGTTCAAGATTATCATGGCTTCCAAAGTCTGAGGCCTGTTTTTTAAATATGAACTTACTATTGCCCTTTGTGAGAGAAACTGGGCATGTTATTTTCTAGTCCCCGATCTCATGTCTCTAAGTGAGAGCAAATAATATCTTCCTTAAGGTGTTGTGGTCAAGAACAAGTAGGTCACTATGGAAAGTGTCTATTGGTCTCTGGCAGGTCACCACTCAGGTCAGTGTTAGCTGACCACTATTTTTTTTTTTAGAGACAGGGTTTCTCTGTATTCCTTTAGAGCCTGTCCTGGAACTCGCTCTGTAGACCAGGCTGGCCTCGAACTCACAGAGATCCACCTACCTCTGCCTCCCGGATGCTGGGATTAAAGGCGTGCGCCACCAACGCCTGGCTTAGCTGACCACTATTACTGCTAGTTTCTGCTATGTACTTCAGTTTTCAAACCCCAGATACACAAGGCACATAGCTGGTGCTCAATAAACATTCATTTTTATCTTTAACTTTGTTCTAAAATAATTTTAGTGTTAGAGAAAAGTTGTAAAAATACTACGGAGTTCTCTCATAGCCTATGCAGCTTCCCCTCATGTTAATGTCTTAGGTAACCACAGGACAGCAGAGTGCCACTGGATAAACTGCCTGTGTCACCAGCTGCCGCAGGCCTTTTCCTGCCTTACGCTCCCCGCTTAGTAACCAACCACTCCTAACTTGAGACAATACCTTTGGCTCTGGGCAATTTTGTTGTGGGTTATGTCTCAGATTGAGTTCCTTCCTCAGACATTTTCTCAGAAGTAAGAAGAGATTTTTGCATTTTGGACTGGAGTATATTAGCAAAGACACATTTCCTTTTAGAAAATTCCTATTTGCTTATGGTGGTGCAATACACACAACATAAAATTTATCATTTATGCGATTTAAACTTATCATTAAAACACTTCAAAGGCACTAGTATAGTCATAACGTATAACCACGATGGAGTTCATGGTGCTGTGTTCCCACTAGGCCCAGACTTCACCACCTCAAGAGGCTTGGTAGTGTAGTAAGTATCCAGTTCTTCATACAACTGCTGGCATCCACCACCTGTCTCTGTGGACTTGCGTGCTCTGGACATATCACATTAATTCAGTCACACGTGTGGCCTCTTGTGTTTGCTTTCTTTCACTCAGCATGTTTCAGACTGGCAACTGTACTTCATTAATTTTTATTATTAAAAATATTAAATAATATTCCATTGTCCATATTTTACTTTCCTATTTCCTAATTTCATAGTGAGTCTGGTGTGGACTCCTGGGATGGGCCTCGGAGTTCGGGAAGGGAAAGAAAAGTCCCCTTGATTGACAGGAAAGAGTTGTACTGTGTGGGGTCCAGGGCGAGACTAGGGAATATAGGGTTGTGTTTACTGGGGGCAGAGTTTACACAGACCAGTGTTGAACTTGGTCGTGGGAAGCTGACTTCTTTTAGTTTCCCTTGTGGCGAGGTAAAAATAGTTGTTCCTAAGGAGTTTGAGAGGTGTTCGGTGATAGCGTCAGGGCTTGGAAAAGGTGGTTCTCAGTGGCACTCCACTTTAGAAGCGTACCAGAGGTGCTTGGCTGGCGAAGGTCATCTCCATCCCCATCTCCCAAAGTTCAGAGGGGCCTAGCGCCACTGAGAACACACATTCACGGCCCGCAGAAGAGGAGCCACAATCAGGCAAAGCGAGTGGCTGAAAACTTCGATGTATCCAGAAGGTAAACGGCGCTCAGATGCTTTCTGTGCGGGTCTGGAGACCCAGCTGCGGGGGAAGTAGTCTGAGGAATCCAAGGCCTCTGAAGGAGGCGAAGGCCTGGTGCTCAGAGCAGGCAGCCCAGGAGCCGAGCGGCCCGGGGCGGAGGGCGGAGCCCAGAGCGCGTCCGCCCCGCCCCGCTGCAGCCCCGAGCCCGGTGCGCGCTCCTAGGAGGGGCGGCGCGCTGCCTGTGCGCGTGGCCCGGGCCCGGCGGTGGCGTGCGCGGGCCGCGCGTGCGCGCTGTGGCGGGGAGAGGGGCGGCGCGGGCGCGCGTCTGTCAGTGACAGCGGGAGGGGAAGGGGGCCGGAGATGGTGGCGGCGGCGGCGGCGGCGGCGGCGGCGGCTGCGGCGGCTGCTCTTCCGACATGAGGCAGCGGCTGCGGGAGGGCTGGCGGCGGGCGCAGCCGCAGCGGCATCTGTAGCTCAGGGCCCCTGGGGCGTGGGCGCGGCGTGCAGGCGACCGGCGTGCGGGCCGGCCGGCGTCGCGGGAGTCGGGCTCTGCGGCAGCCCGCACCGCCGTCCTCGGAGGGGCCCGCGCAGTACCCCGAGCTCGGCCCTGGGCGGGGGTGCGGCGCGTTCGGCTGCGGGCAGAGCAGGCCGCTCAGACGGGCGGCCCTCGGGCTCCGCAAGCTCGCGGGCGGGGGCGCGGGCCAGGGTAGCCCGCTGGTGCTCAGCCGCGCGGGGACTGGACGCGGCAGGAGCCGCAGGTCGGCCCGCGCGCTTTGACGCACCGGGCGCCTCTGCGGCAGGATGAAGCGCTGCTCGCCTCCGGCCGAGTTGTTTTTGCGAAAGCCGCTCCCGGTGCCCGGAGCGCTCAAGGTCTGAACTTCCCTCTGGAGCCGCAGTTGGAGGCGCGCGGGTAGAGGCCACCAGCGGGCGACGGCGCCCGAGGGGAGCGCAGCGCAGCGCGCCCGGGACCCAAGACTCAGCACCGCCGCGGCACGCTAACCCCGGGAGCACCAGGTACGGCCCGAGCGGTTCTGGCTCGCCTTGGCGCTTTTATTCGCCTTTATGAGCAGTTTTTGTGAGCATATGGTGCCTTCCCAAGTGGCTCGCCAGAGCTCGCACTCGCGACAAGCACAGGTCGCGTGGCCCTCCGGGAGTGTGTGTAGTAAGGCCGCTCTAATTCTGCTGGTTTTGCCCTCAGGTACCCCTGACCCGGTCGGGAAAGGTTCCAAGAGCTCAGCAACATGGCTTCCTCACCCCACCAGCAGCTGCTGCATCACCATAGCACCGAGGTGAGCTGCGACTCGAGCGGAGACAGCAACAGCGTGAGGGTCAAGATTAACCCCAAGCAGCTGTCCTCCAACACCCACCCGAAGCACTGCAAGTACAGCATCTCGTCCAGCTGCAGCAGCTCGGGAGACTCCGGGGGGCTTCCTCGGCGGATGGGCGGCGGGGGTCGCCTGCGCAGGCAGAAGAAACTGCCCCAGCTGTTCGAGAGGGCTTCCAGCCGGTGGTGGGACCCCAAATTCGACTCTGTGAATCTGGAGGAGGCCTGTCTGGAGCGCTGCTTCCCTCAGACCCAGCGCCGCTTCCGGTACGCACTCTTCTATGTGGGCTTCGCCTGCCTTCTCTGGAGCATCTACTTCGCTGTCCACATGAGATCCAAAGTGATTGTCATGGTGGTCCCTGCTCTGTGCTTCCTGGTGGTGTGTGTGGGCTTTTTCCTGTTTACTTTTACCAAGCTGTACGCCCGGCATTATGCGTGGACCTCACTGGCCCTCACCCTGCTGGTGTTCGCCCTGACCCTGGCTGCGCAGTTTCAGGTTTGGACACCTCTGTCAGGACGTGTTGACAGCTCCAATCAAACTCTCACAGCCAAGGCGGCGGCGGATGCTTGCTTATCTCAAGTGGGGCGCTTCTCCATGTGCATTGAAGTGCTCTTTTTGCTCTACACGGTCATGCACTTACCTCTGTACCTGAGCTTGTTTTTGGGGGTGGCCTATTCTGTCCTTTTTGAGACGTTCGGCTATCATTTCCGAAATGAAGACTGCTTCCCCTCCCCAGGACCCGGGGCCCTGCACTGGGAGCTGCTGAGCAGAGCCCTGCTCCACGCATGCGTTCATGCCATCGGGATCCATCTGTTTATCATGTCCCAGGTGAGGTCCCGGAGCACCTTCCTCAAGGTGGGGCAGTCCATTATGCACGGCAAAGATCTGGAAGTAGAAAAGGCCCTCAAAGAGAGGATGATTCATTCTGTGATGCCAAGAATCATAGCTGATGACTTAATGAAACAAGGGGATGAGGAGAGCGAGAATTCTGTCAAGAGGCACACCACCTCCAGCCCCAAGAACAGGAAGAAGAAGTCTTCCATACAGAAAGTGCCTATAGCATTCCGCCCTTTTAAGATGCAGCAGATTGAAGAGGTCAGTATTTTATTTGCAGACATCGTGGGCTTCACCAAGATGAGTGCCAACAAATCCGCCCATGCCTTGGTAGGTCTCCTCAATGATCTGTTTGGTCGCTTTGACCGGTTGTGTGAGGAGACCAAGTGCGAGAAGATCAGCACTCTGGGAGACTGTTACTATTGTGTGGCAGGGTGTCCGGAGCCCAGGGCAGACCATGCCTACTGCTGCATTGAAATGGGCTTAGGCATGATAAAAGCCATCGAACAGTTCTGCCAGGAGAAGAAAGAGATGGTGAACATGCGTGTGGGAGTTCACACAGGGACTGTCTTATGTGGTATCCTGGGCATGAGGAGGTTTAAATTCGATGTGTGGTCCAATGATGTGAACTTCGCTAATCTCATGGAGCAGCTGGGAGTGGCTGGCAAAGTTCACATATCTGAGGCCACGGCAAAATACCTAGACGACAGGTATGAAATGGAAGATGGGAGAGTTATCGAACGCCTTGGCCAGAGTGTGGTCGCTGACCAGTTGAAAGGTATGTGCATTTCTTTGTCACCTACCTCCCCCATCCTGTTTGCATTTAACAGTAATAACAGTGACTGAGGAGGTCCTTTCCAGCGTCAGTGTCTGGAGGCAGTTGGCTGTCTTGCACACCTGACTGGGAGAATCAGCGTGCCTGTTTGCTAATGAGTCAGATGTTGCAGACCTAGTCATACTGCAGGCAGGGACACCGAGACAGTGCTGACCTACTCGAGACCTCAGAAGGAAGGAGGACTTTGAAAACTCACGGCCTGCCAGTTGGCTGTTGATGTCTCTGAAATTGTGGTGGAAAGCCCAGTGAGAATGAGGGTATCGGAGCCCATTGAAAGGTGGAACTTTTAGCACTTAAATAATTTGCCTTTAAATTCCATGCACTTGTTTCCCTGTCTCCTTTGACAAAACGGTGAACCCCAAGTCCTCTTTCCTCTCCTGGCCTTGCTTTGCTTATGGTCAAAGTAGGGTAGGAAGCTGACTATTCAGTAAGATACTGGAAAGCTAGACACACACACTTGTCAGTACACTCTGCCTTTGCCTGAAGTCTCAGTGCCTTGCTGTCATGGTACCTGTCTTGCTTTATGCAGTCACTGCAGATTCAGAACTAGGTACGAAAGTGGAGTTCTTCCGTCTCCCTCACTGCCTCTGGCTGCTCGTCCTTAGTCTCAGGGTCCCTGCTGCTCTTGGTATTTTTGCTGGCTACATCTTTTTACTTTATTTTCCTGTTTTTATATAAGTCAAAAGTCTTCGAGATCTGGGAAATGGGTGTGTAGATTAATGGGACCCAAAACGAGGATTCTCAGTAATCTGCTACATTTCTTTGCCCCATTCCCTGAAATTTTAAAAAGTTCCCATGTTTTACTATAAATCTTCAGGGTTGAGGGAACATTTATTTTACAAGTACATAGAGAATTAACATTGATTTTGAAAAGCTACATTAAAGCTGTATTGTGTTTTGTGGTGCCCAATGCCGCATAATTAAAAGCCCCAGGAGAGGGACCCTTGGGAGGGGAAGTGATGGTTTAAATCAGAGAGTGGCTGAGTTGTACTAGTGTGGGCCATCTGCCTTATAGCACTGTTGGGAGTTCAGTGTGTGTTTTCTCTCTCAATGGGCATTTGTGGCCTGAGCTCCCTTGTCATTTTTTGTACTCTGGTCATTGTGGATTTTCTTTCTCCCGAGTTTCCTTTATTGTTTTTATTAGTTGTTGAAGAATTTATGGATACAGCAGGAAAATTCTCACCTGAGAATCCCCTTGTCTAGAGATATCTAAATGTGGTTGTTGACCAGCTCACAAATGACACCTCGAGTTGCTTTGGAAAGCAAGTGTCTTTCCAATTAGGGTCCTGGCACCTGCTTTGGGGCTTCCTGGTATTGGGACGTAAGCCCTCGGTGACATTTTGGCATCTTCAGGACTGACAGCTGTAGGGGTTGTGGCACAGTTCCAGACTGTGGTACTGGACCGCACTGCAATGTGTGTAACGACACAATATGCTGGGTCAAAGGACAGTGAAAGCAGTTTGGTGAGGTGTACTTTGTGTGACTCTGGACTTCATTTACTTTGTGTGACTTCACTTCAAAAATAAAAATAGGTATAGCTATTAAATAAAAATCGGTATAGCTATTAAGTATATAAGGAAGCTTCACAGTCATTGAATTCTGGAAATATCAGTGTTTGTTAGTTTGTGATTTTTGTTTTTTAATTCATAGGCCCAGGGTCTCAAAGAAACCTCCTCAAGAAAAATACAAAAGGAATCCTAGAGGAATTTAATGAATTTTTAAGTTTCAAAGAGTGTAAATTTAGTACATTTAACTTAAAAATAAATGTACATTATATACTTACAAAAATTTTGTAAATGGACAGGGGAAGGAAAAAATGAAGGGAGGGCTTAAGTGAACTGTTACTGATTTTTATATCTAGCATTCCCTCCCGGAACCATTCTCTCAAGCCTGACTTTTTTGCTTTTCCCTGCTCATTTGGACTCTAGCAATAGCACACGTCTGCCCAAGTCTCTGCCCCCTTTGAAACTGAGTCTTCTTAGTCTGGAATTGTGACAGCGTGGCAGGGAGCTACTTCTTTCTACCTAATGAGTCTGAGTGGAATGGTGACCCATTATTTCATCACATCCACACCTTCTCCCTCTCTCTTCCTCTTTGTTCCCATCCCTTTTCTCTCTTTCCCTGATTATAACACTCCTGTGTATGTCTGGCGCTGTGGATGCAAGTATGGACCCTGACAGTTCTGACCTTGACAAGCTTCTGGTTGACAGAGTTGTTGCAGAACCGGTCTCTATGTTTGGGGCATTTTAGAGAGAGGCTCATACTGCAATCAAGTGCAGCTCTACAGGTGGGCAAAGGAAGAGAGCTGAGCACAGAGCAGAGAGCATGGGCAGAAACTGTCAATGTGTTTCTCAGTGGGGTTGGGCTTTGGATCTAGCTCATCAGGACCTCCTAGCAATTGTGACCTAAGGAGTTTGGATTTGATCCAAACTCTCAAAGTGGCTAGGATCCCCTAATAGGACTTATGTAAAAGACCAGGTGATGTTCAGTGAAAACCCTTTTTCAGTTCTAGAGATTGTAGCCTAGAAGGTAGGGAATGGTGGCCTGAGGGAAGGTAACTGCAGTGTCAGTGGAGAGGCTGCACTGAGAGCAGCATTACCATAACCAGATGGGACCCCAAGCCAGGCCTTATCAGAGGCTGGGATGGGGCATGACCAGGTGTCATGGTTTGAAGGGAAGAGAGCCTTTACATTTCTGGAACTGACCAGGAGATTGAGTGAGGAAGGGTGGAGATGCCATTGCAGTGTGGTGAGAATGGAGGATGAGAGATCTGGATAAAGACTGTGAATGCGTCTGGAAACCCTGATCCCACACATTCACCTTTTCATCAGATTCTGTGCTGTGCCCAGTTCTAGGTTCTGGAGCTACTGTAGGGTACAAAATGGATTTAAAAAAATCCTGTTCTCATCTTATGAAACTGGGTTTTTAATAAAACAGGGGAGTTTCATTAGTGGAGTTAATAGGGAAACCCAAGATTTTGGAAATGGTCCACAGAGTAACAGCAATGATAAAACTAAGGAGAAGGAGCTAAATTTGAGCTACAGGAAGAGTGGTCCTGCTGTAGTGTTGAGATAAACCTTGGAGCTGGAGGGATCCTGGCTTCTCTGTGAGAATGGTTATCCACTGTGTTGGGTTTTCCTGTAGAGGCAGCAAGTGAAACTTAAAAGAAAGTGTCCCCAGCTGCCTTCTCCTCCCCATGTGGGTAGCCTTAGTCTTTGCAGAAAATTTCTGGTTGCCATTGCACTGTTA